TTGTCGAAAGTTAGTCGATTTCTGAAAATTAGTTGTCGAAAATTGGGAAACTTGTTGGAATCTAGAAATATGGCTGAAATCTGGTTAAAAAATTCAACCGACATAAGAAAATTCACTAAAAAATTCAATTGATACTGAAAAATTCATTGAAAAACTAAAAATTTTTCAAAAAAATTTCCAAAAAAAGTCTTCTTTTTAACCTAAAATTTTTTTCCAAAGTCTTCTAACTATCTTTTGACTTCCCTTTCTATGATCTCATTTACGTTTACTGATCTGTGTTTTCTATGTGTTTTTGTCTTTTGTGATCTTATGGGTGTCTGTCTATGTATTTATAGGGTTTCAAATTCAAAAACCCTAAACCAAAAAGAATTCAATTTCCTTTTTAATTTTAACTTCAGATTTTAAGTCCAATTTAAACTCCTCACACACAGTCTTGCACAAACTTAACCTGCTAGAGTTTTTTTCTATTTTTTTTTCATTTTTATTATTTATTTTTTTATTAACAGAAAACCAGATTGAGTAAAACCCTAGACAAATTGGGATGTCTATAATAATAATTCAACTAGCAACCTAATTATGATTAAAGACATAAAAAACAACATATTAATAACTTTAAAATTTTAATCATTGACATTATTAATTTCTAAATAATAATACATAAAAAAAACTCGCATTCCCTTTCAAATTTTCATCAAAAAATTTTATTTTATAAAACATTCTCAACCATTTCCCATCAATTATTCACTTTTCCCTTTCAGTTTTTTTTTTTTATCTAAAAGTAAAAACAAAATAATATTTAACTTAAAAGCACATGCGACATAATCACTTCACCCATCAATTGTCCCACCCTTTCAAACTTTTGTTCTTTTTCCTTCCCCATCTCACAATAGACTACCTATTTTCATCTCTCTACTCATAACTCAACTCTCAAGAATTTGTTAACTTTCCAATCTCATCTCATCTCTATCATGACCAGGGAGAAAGAAAACTCAAATTTTGAAGAACAAAAAGGCCAATACTTGTTACTTTGTATTAAAGTTCAAAACTTTGATTAATTTTTTCTTTTGGCTTGATTAAGGCTTTAATTTGTTAAATTGGTTTAGATATAGGATTTTACCCTGTTCTGAAATTTGGAAATGATATATTACTTGATTAATGCATTTTTTTTTTGTAAAACAGAAACAAGATGGGGCAATCACATTATTTTAGAACTGCAACAAATCGTTAAGTATGTGAATGAAATTTAAACCCTAATTGTGATAGATATGATATCAAAAGGAACTGAAACCACAAAATAACGGTCGTTATGCCACGTAGCAACTGCTGTTTAAATCCCTCTGTAACTATTTACAACAGATTATACAAACATCTGCAAATGATAGCAAAGAGTGGTTGAAAACTACTGCAACATCCCTTGCCAAAACAGAGTATGAACTTTCCATTATGACTACTTGGGCTCAATGAAATGCCAAAAATAGATAGATCAATGACAATAAAAGGACAATATAATCTAAAAGCTAGAACTTTATGGTAAAAATATCACAGTGTCAAATAGGTCAGAAGTAACCAAAGAAGGACAAAATGAGTAAAAGTAGGTAGCCTCTTCTTGCAACTCACTACAAAGTTAATTTCAATGGTGCATAGGACTATCAGCTTAAACAATAGGGCATAGGTGTCGTTATAAGGGATCATAGACAAGTGGTGGGAGTTGCAACTTTTAAAATGAAACGTGTAACTGAGGGGTGCATTATAGAAGCATTGGCAGTGGTTAAAGTAATAGAGGTGTCATTTCACATGGGATACGAAAGGATAATTATGGAAGGTGATGCTTTGACAATTATCAAAGGTCTACAGCAAGAGATAAAAGCTTTTATCAAATATAGGAGCTAGACGCCCATCCGTGTCTGGAATAAATAATGTGTATTATTATCTTTATTATTATTATTATTATTTTCTTAATTTATGATGGAATAAAGAAATCAAACCAACCAAACAAGGGGATTTCGATTTTACATAAAACTAGGAATCAAATTAGACAACTTGCTAAACCTAAGCTTAAAATCATGTTTGAGCAGAATCCAATTCCAGGATTCAAGCCTAGATTGGTTCTATTCCAACCTTAAAGTTAACACTAAGGCTAGCTATAAATTGGACACAGGATCATAGAACAATTCATGAATTAATTTATGGAGAAAGGAAGAGAGAATTTATGGAGAAAAGACGAGTTGATTTTTAGGAGGAAATATTTTTGGATTTAGGGTTTCTGATAGTGGATTTTTGTGAGGAATTTCTCAGGGTTTGAATTTCTAGATTTCGGTTTGAAGTTTTGGATTTGAAGTTTGAAAATATGGGTTTAGATTTAAGTTTCTAAGAAATTTCTGAAAAAATCTAGGTTTAGGTTTCAATTTTTGAAAATTTTTGAAAAATCTAGGATTGGGTTAAATGTTTGAATTTTTCGTTGAATTGTTCAGTGAATTTTGAATTTTTGACGAGATTTGGATGATATTTTTTAGAAACTAACAGATTACCCAGTTTTAAGTGATTTGTTCTTAGTTTTTTTAAAGAAAAGACAAAAGAAATTTTGAGCCAAAGAGAGAGGTCATAAGGATTCTAAGAAGAGTCTAAAGGGCTTGGCTTTTATACTGTACCAAAATAACATAGTTTTAAAGGTCTCAGCTCCGCACGTCAACTTGCTAACCCGCACACGACATGCATGTTTGACCCGACCTAATCGCATGTTTTCTTTTTTATTTTCATTTTTTGATTGTGTTTTTTTTTTAAGTTTTTTTTCTTATTATATTTCATTTTTATTATATTTTATTAATTTTAAATTAAGTAATTTATTGCTTTTAAAATTTTTTTTGTAAAATTCCTCTTATTATTCTACTTTTGAAAAAAAAACAATAAAAAATTTTTAAAATAAATTCATGGATCCTATTAAACTATTGAAAGATTTTTCATGAATTTAAATTTTATGGAATCTTTCAAATTATTAAAAAATTTCATAAATTAATTTCCCAAAAAAATAATTTTAATAAAAATTTTGTATTTAATCTTACCAAACTATTTGAGACTTGCATTTCAAGTTAAATCTTACTAAACTATTAGAAGATTTAATAAATTTTTTTAAAAAAAAATGTTATAAATATTTTATAATAAAATCTCACTAAACTTTTGAAAGATCTACATCAGAGTAAATCTTATCAAACTATTATGAGACTTTACTAATTATTTTTTTGGATAAAATATTTTAATAAATATAAAGATGGAGTCTCTTTAGAACGAGACACTAGTTTTATGAATACTCTTGAAGTGAGAGAATTATATAAATTGTTACCAAACTATTGAAGTAATTTTGAGATTAATTTCAATATTAAATATTTCAAGAATTATAAACATGTTTAAGGTTTGAATAATGTGAAATCAAACTTGTATTATCTTTTGATGGGCTTTTGTGAAAGTGTTATAACATTTCTCATACGTAATTATATTCTTGAATTTAAAATTTGATTTCATGGATCAAAATTTACTATTTAAATATACTTAAGTTAATATTGAGATTCCTCTTTAAATATGATAAATTATATGGGTGGCTAATTATACTTAAACAAAAATAAAATTGATGACGACTCTCTTAAATCATATCTAATGATAAATTCACAGATTTATACGTTATAGTTTAATTTTAGTGGATGGCCAAAAGTGGAGAAGACAGTTCGACGAGTGTTTTTGCGGCATATTCGTAGGGATTATAATAAGGACTAGCGGAAGATGTAGTATGCGTAGAGGAAACTCATCATTTTATAAATTCAGTTGTAACGGTGAATATTTTCAATTTGAGTTAAGCAATAATACACTACCGTTAAAATATCAAAATTATTTTTCCAAAATGTAACTGTGAAGTCAAGCCATCTACACAGACTCGAAAATATGTTGGAATTTTGAGAGAATTTAAACATTAATAATTAATTTATTAAATGGATTTGGGCACAATTAAGAGGCCCATTTTCAAAATGATTCGGGCCAATAGGTAGATATATATATATATATATATATATATATTATTTATATATTCTATATGATAAATCATATAAGGGGCTAATTGTAAATGGTAGTAACTCAGCATGCATGTATGCGGTCCAACCCAAATAGCAAGTTAAACTTAACAAAAAGAAAAAATCAAATTGCATAATTCATCCTTATACTTTAATCAAAATGCGGATTTAGTTTTTTTTTTAAATAATTTGACCAATTGAAGTTTTTTTAGTTTTCGTGATTCGCAATCCACATGTAAACTCTGTTAAAATTGTATATAGTTTAATTAAACTCATTAACTAATAGTCATTTGATTCTTAGAACATATAGTTCAATATTAACTTTAAAAAATGTTCCATTTTCAAATTCAAAGTAGGACTCAAGTAATGAAAACTCTTTATTTTGGTAACACATTACGAAACTTTAATACTTGGATTAAAATTTATTAAGGTTTTAGTTATTTACTAAACACTGAAATTGATCTTAGAAACGAGTTCAAAGATATATGAAAGTGAAATGAAAAGAATTGGTTGTTTACTGTTAAAAAATCCTAATATTTAATAAAGGACCATAATTAAATTAATGGAGAATTAAATGAATATGAATTTTTTTTTTTTAAGTTAGAAAGATTATAAAACAAATTAAATATTTAACTTTTTTATTAGAATTTAAAATATAAATAAATTTGTAAATGAGAGTTGGGTTTAGTAGCAAGAGGAGGAGGTTCTAAAACTCTAAAATTTTAGGTTCAAATTTCAGTTTGATTCAACTTTATGTTAAATTAGTTTAGTTATGTTTTAATTTGTTCATTAATTTAGAGTTCGCTTGGAATCAATTTTATTTCCTGTTTTATGTTTTTGTTTTTAAAATTTGCAACATAAAATATAAATCTTGTTTGGTAAGATAATTTTGTTTCCAGATTTTGGAAATAGACAACGAAATTTTCAAATTTATAGAAAATACGAGTCTTGTGTTTCCTACAGTTTCCAAAAAAATATTTGGAAAACATGTTTTTATTAAAAACACGGAATGTGAACGATAACCTTTTAATACGGTTCCCATTGCGAATCCGCTTAAAACTATATCTCTTTGCATTTTATCCTTCTTTCTTTTTTTTTTTCCCTCAATTGTAAAATCCCTTGACTCCTCAATCCTCACTCACATATGCTTTTCTTTCTCCATTCTTCACAATCACAGCCACATTTTCACTTTTCTTTCAACCCTTATCTTATTCACCTCTTGTTCAACCTTTGGCTTCTTCAGTTTTCCTTCATCCTGTGGCTTTTTCAATTTCAAAGTCTTTCTTCAACGATTATTCATCTGTTCATGCAACCAACAAAAAAAGGTTCGTAAAATAATTATTTTGATAATTTTAGGTGGAGGGTAATTGTATTTTTTTTAGGAGTTCTAAGAAATCTTATTGATTTAACCATATTAGTTGTTATTCCAAGGTTGATTTATATTATTTTTTGAATAGCACTGAGTCGGTATCCATGATTTAGACAATTTTAACCACTTTATTAAGGTTTTGTGGGTATGTGAGTTATGATTTTATTCCATGGGATTGGTTTGTAGGTACTATTAGGTTAAGCATATAAGTTGAAGAGATATAATGGGGTGTAAGTCTGTATTGCAGAAGTGATGTGTAATTGTGGGTGTTAATCTATAATATCATGGGAGAGTAATGAAAATGTAGATTAGCTTTCTTCGTTTAATAAATCTTTGGTTTAGCAAAAAAAAAAAGAAAAAATTGTATTTTGATTCTAGAATCTTGGAAATCTACAAATGGGTCTAGTAGTTTACTCATGATTGACCAAACCATTAAAAGGATTTCTAGGTTCACTTATTCATTAGCATGATCCTATATTTCACTGTAAAAGTGTGATAGCTTTTGCTTTGGAACCAATTAGTTTGCTTCGTTGCCTTTCTTTTGGCTGTTTCTTAACTTTGTTAGAAAAACAAATATCTTAATCCCTCTGACATATTTACCTAGCATTCTATTAATTCTCTCTAGTGTGTCATTGTTGGCTCACCTACGGTATGGAGTTCTCATGTTCCTTCTATGGTTCCTAGCATAGTCTTTTATAAGTTTGAGAATAAGTTGAATTTGGATGATCTTTACATGTGTTCTTTTTAGGACTGTCATCAATCTGGTTTAAAAAAAGGCAATCTGTGAGGGCACTCTATAGATGGTTAAAAAATGTGGAGACCCAATTATTTGTGTTTTATATGAGGATGAGGAGTCCAGGTTTCTTATCTTTTGAGGGAGATCAAGAACTTCATGTATTCATTAGAGATTAGCGAGGTTCCCTTTTTTTATTCCTTTCTGTTGAGTTTGAGTTGTTGGGAAAAAATTGGAAATTTCATTAAGGAAAAAGCTAGTGTACCATTTTTCTCTTGCCTTGCATTAGTTTGTTTTGTTTTTGTTCTAGTGTCTCTTTGTAAATTGTAAGGGGTCTGTGCTTTCTTTACCACATAAAGGCATAAGCAAAGCCAAAGGATTTCCTTAACTAGTGGTTAAGTCCTTTCTAGTCTTCCTTCTACTAAATATCTATCACAAAAGAAAAGAGTATAGAGAGAGTGTGTGCAAATACATGGAAATATAATTAGCAGTAAAATATTTCTAGCTTTGATTTTATTTCAATAATTGGTCTTGGTTATTGCTCTCTTTACCTATAGTAATTGTCCTTTTATAGGTTGAATGGATGATAATGGACTGTGCTTAGGAAATTTTCTTTCTAGAATGTATTGCTTGTTTGAATTGATCTACCTTATCACGTAGTTTGGTTCATGACATGACAGAACTTAACATTAGTTAGATCTTATTTGATGATTGATTCAAATTGATTGTTTCTTTTTTAAAGGCATTTGTAGTGAAATTTTTTATCAGTAAGACATGTACATTTGTAAGATTTTAATCAAATAAATTTAAATACAATTGAGACTTAGATAACTAACAATTACCTTGTTGTGGGAACTCTGCATTCTTAGATGGCAAATGGTGATCAAAATATGCAACCAATTGATAGTGAAAGTGAGGAAAATGATCTTGATGAACTTGAAAATGATGATAAAATTATATGGACAGCTGAGAGAGAATTTATTCATTTGCATTGTGGAGGAAGAGTTTCTTAAGGGACATAGAGTCACAATTACATTCAGTAAAGAATCATGAAATTTTATTCGAGAAACACTTAGGAAAATAGCAAAGTACAACTATCTTGATTCACAATTGAGAAGTAAGTTTAATCAATTGAGATCTCGTTATAATAATTTCAAAAAGTTGTTAAAAGAGACTAGAGTTTGATATGAAGCTATCACTGGAAAAGTTATTGCTACGGAGGAAACACGGCACTGCCTATATGCTGTAAGTTCCCTAATTTCATTAGGGCAAATATTTATATATTTTAAGTTTTATTTTAATGATATCTATTTTTTTGTTTATATAGGTTCAGAAGATGGCTAAAAGATTAAAAAAAAGGGTTGTTCAATGTATGACAAATTGTGTGTTATTTATGGAAATACTTTTGCCACTCGATCAAATGCAAGACCTTCTACACTTAGTCCATCAAATAGTGATAAGGAGGGAGTGGATCCAACTTATGACATAGACAAAGAATTAAAGGAAGAAATAGAAGGTGAAGGCGGTGCGAATGCCAGTGGTAGTAATACTAAAAAGCATATCCATTCTACTACCCCTATCATTCGCTAAGGGAAAAGATCAAATATTTCCATTTCAATACAATCTGCCTTAAACTCTATTAGTGAAATTCTAGAAGAAAGGTTGACATACGGTAGAGATTGTTAGTTGTTTCAGCTCATTCAAGGGGATCTATTGGGACATTAAATCTGAAACTATTTCTGAATCTAGATCACCTAGAAGGAAATTCTTAAATGAGAGTTTAGAAGCATTAGAAAAACTTGACGGTATTGGTGGCGCATCTTATTCTAAAGCTATAGAGAAATTTCATAATGATGAATTATAGAGAGAAATGTTTCTTCAAATGACTGATGGAAGGAAGAAAGATTGGGTTCTTAATTTAAAGTGAACTTGTTTCTAATGTCGTGTTTTTTTCCAATCCTAGAACTTCTTTCTTTGCCTTGGATTTTTATTTGTGATGTTTATTTCTATCATTTGTAGTTTTTTATTTTTCTTTCTAGTTTATCAGTGGAATATGCTACCTAGAATGTAGTTATTAAGCTTGGTACTTTAACTATATGTATGAATGGAGTTTAGTTCTATTTTAATATGCGTTTGACTATTTTTATTAGCCATTTAGTCAAAGATCCTATATGATTTTTTTATGAAATTTTAATATGCATTTGAATTTTTTTTAACATTTTAGTTTGCCTATATGACTAGTGTATCAGATTTACATGATGGATCGGAATAAGATGATACAAATTGCATCGCTTACAGAGTTTGATGATGAAAAAGGTGAGATGGAAGATATTTTACTAATTATGATTGTTGAAGAATATTATATCAAGTACTTACTTAAACAGCCTTGCTGAACATCTCAATTAACAGGTCACGCATATATTCAAAAAATTCTTTATGGGAATGAAATTAGATGTTTTGATGAATTACGAATGGAACCACCCATGTTTATTGATTTTTGTAATACTTTAAAAGAACGAGGATTATTACGAAACTTGAAGCACTTGACAGTGAAAAAACAAGTTGCAATCTTTTGATTTACTTTGGAGCATAATGAATGAAATCGAGTTATTGCAGAACAGTTCCAACATTATGGAGAAACTATTTGTCTGACTTTCTAAAAATGTAAAGGCTGTGTGTCGTATTGGGAAGGAGATCATGATCTCACCATCATTCGATGTAATTCCTCCTAGGAGTCAACATGATCAAAGATATTATCCATTTTTTAAGGTGATATAATTCATTACCTTTTTCTTATTTATTAACAACAAAACTTATAATAGTTAGTGATATATAAATTTTTTTAATGAAACAGCATTGGTGCAATAGATGGAACACACATAGCTGTACGTGTTCCTACTAAACAACAGATACCTTATGGTGGAAGGAAAATAGAACCAACACAGAATATTATGTGCGCTTATTCATTTGATTTAAGATTTACATATGCGATGGTGAGATGGGAAGGAACTGCAAATGATTCTAGAGTTTTTGTTGAATGTGCCTCCCCAATGTATTCTTATTTTATAGCATTTTATTCAACCTTCCTTTTTTTAGAATTAAAAATAATTTTTTGGGGTAGACAAATATTATCTTGTAAACTCTGGATATACAAATATGCTAGGTTTTTTATCTCTTTATCGTGAGGAAAGATATCATTTAGGAGATTACAAAGGAAGAGGACGGCAACTACATGGTCCAAAAGAGATTTTCGATTATAGACACTGTCTTGACATAATTGTATTGAGCGATGTTTTGGAGTGCTAAAGGCTCAATTTCCAATTTTAAAAGGAATGTCACCATGTAGTCTATGCATGCAATGTTTTATTGTCATTGCTTGTTGTGTAGTGCATAATTTTATTAGGACACATAGGATGCAAGATAATATGTTCGAAGAATATGACATAGGCAATCTTATAATTGATAACAATGAAGAAGCTTCAGCAGCTAACATTTCATAAAAACATGTAGAGTTTAATGTGATGCCAAGTCAATTATGTTATATGCAAAGAGTTCGTGATGAAATTACTACTGAAATGTGGAATACATCTCAAAATAATTGACTATTGTATATAATATAACTTAAACTCTCCTATTTGTATTTTATATAATAAATTCCACTTTTCGTATTTCTAATTATATTTACTATTATCATATTAAAACTTACTTGTACCAAATTTAAATATTAAATACGTTAACATACATACGTAGACACCGAATTTTGTCCGGATCTACTAGATTAAATCTTATTTTCAAGTTTTGTTTATTAATATTGAAATTAATTAATAATTAAATATAATAATTAATAAAAACAAAAATACGACAAACAAAACAAAAAAAAAAAAAAATGCAGAAAGCAAGGGGGTTGGTGGCAGAGGTGCCACAGCACCATTGCCACCCATGTCCTGTCCCCTTACTAAAGCCTTACTACCACCCTTGTCTTGTCCTCTCACCAAAGCCCTACAACCACCTTTACAGCTTACCCTACCAAACCCATGCCCTAATTATCCTCAAACCCAAACACCCATCTCGTTAAAGCACCTAGCTACCTTTTCTTTCAGCTCTTGAACACGACTCAAAAGCCCAAAATCTCTAAGCACCTGCACTTAAACCAATCATCCTCTACCCAGAAACCTTCATACTTAGTACCTCCATTTGAGCCTCCACGCACCCCAATTAACACCTAAGTCCTAGGGCCTTTAAAGCCCTAACCTTAATCAAAACACTCAAAGCCCTTCCACTACTTCCAAAAAACTTTCTACCTATCAGAAAACTAAACAAACACCTAAGCCATAAAACAAAAAAAATAGAACAAGGCAACAAAAAAAAAAAACACAATCCTCTCCAAATCGACGAGGAACCCCACGCCAAAGAGATATTTGCAAAAGAAAAAAATACATCCATAGTAGTTTTTTTTTAAAAAAAAGATAAAGAGAGGAGACCAAAAGCTTCAAGCTTCGATCTACACCAATCATTATTTCTAATGAAAAAAGATCAAATCCAAAAAGAGGGAGTTGAGAGGAACTTCTTACAGCTTTTGATGTTTTTCAACCACCGACGACGGTCAGTACGACTATGCAGGTGGCTGGAGGCTAAACAGTGGTAGAGCTCTAGAGCTTTCCCTGAAGCTCTAAATATTTTTTTTAAAGGAAATGATGAAATGAATAAAAAAAAAAGGTTGACTTATATAGAAGCCAAAGCATAAAATGACACTATTTAAGCCAAAAAAAATCTGCATATGGACCCGAATTTGACTCGGGATCCGTGCAACCCGACTAAGCGACCCATTTCAACCAACCTTGAATAGGTCCAAATGAATCGTCAGTGAATCGGTTTGGGCCGATCTGAACGACCGTATTATCAAGCTGACCAAATCGGTTGATTTACCATGCCGATTTAGGTACAAAAATTTTTTTTATTTTTTTATATATTATTTTTATTAATTTAAATTTTACTATTAATGTTTATGCACGATACAATGTTTTTAAATGTGTTAGAATAAATTTTGTTGTTTTTATAATAGTAATAATAAAAATAAACAACGAATTCAAACTTTTGAATAATAAATAAATAAATAAATAAAAGAGAATAATAACAAAAAATGCTAAATAATAATAATAATAATCTAAAAAGAATGATAATAAAAATAAAGTAATAATTTTTTTCTTTTCCCTGCCTAAATGTCGAAGGGAATAAATATTGCCTTCTAAAAAAATGATTTCGCCTAGATTTTGAAAAATTATTATAAAAAAGGTAATCCTAAAAAAAATAATAAAATTATTAATGATAATTTTTCATAAAAATTTTTTTTTAAATAGTTTAAAAAAATCATAATCGAACTTGTTTAGAAAGTTCACTTAAATGTTAGAGATTTTTAGTAATGTTCATATTTTTAAAATTTAAATTCTAAAGCCCTAAAACTAAAATCCTAAATCCTCTAAACCATAAATCTAAAACCCTAAACCTTTAAACTAAAATACTAAAACCTCCAAACTCTAAAATTGAAACCCTAAATTTCTAAACCCAAACCTTTGAAATCCTAAATTTCTGAATCCTAAATTTCAAAACCTTAAAATTGAAATACTAAAACCCTAAATCTCAAATCCCAAAACCAAAACTCTAAACCTTTCAAACCCTAAAACCAATCCTTAAACCCTTAAAACTCAAACCAAAACCTAAAATCCAAAGCTCCAAAATCTCGAAACCCTAACTTTTAAAACTCAAAACCATTTCAAAATTTTAAAGATACGTGTGAAAATCTTAAATGGAGTAATTTATTCTCGAATACAGCCTAAATAATGGGGTATTTAGGCAACTTTATTCTATTAAGTTTTTCATTCGAATCTTTAATTCGTTTCAACAATGGAGTTAATAACTAATTACTAATGAGTATAATAATAAAATGAGATCTTAAATATAAATAGTCGCACCTAAGCTCTGCCTAGATATTGGAGAGTCAAGGTGGTCTCATTATATTTAAGAATTCAATTTCAAATTTGCATTTCATCATCATACACAACACCTGTTGGCTTACATGCATTTATTTGTTATTGTTTGCACTCGTTTGCATACGTTTGCATTCTTTTGTCTTTAATTTCTATTTACTATCTGATAATACCATCATTTACTTTTTCGAACAAAATATTTTTTTAATTTACTTACTTTTAAAGTTTTGATATTATAGAATAAAACAAAAATAACATCCTAAGGGGAACAGTTTTTGATACTCTGTCTAGACATTAAAGAGTTATTAATAATTATCTTCTGCAAATAATGTTATTTTCATTTTCAATGGATGTCATGGTAAATATCAGTATAAAGTATTATCTTTAAAGTTTTACCTAGATGTTAGAGAATTTTAAGATAATTCTTTCACTTAGAGATTTCCTCAATACTCATAAATAAAGAATTTTGACAAAATTAATTTTTTTTAAAAAATAAAAAGGAATTTATATTATTAAATATCAAATCGAAACCATTTCATCCAACACTGAAAATAGCGCATGATTAAATGGTACCAATTTATGGGCGTTGTGGCAGTGCTAATCCTTATCCACATATAACCGACTCCTGAGCCTAATCTAGTTTTTCGTAGATCAAAATTTATCTTTTTGATAAACTTTAAACTCGTTTTTATAGTTTTATTAAAAAGATAAACTTTCGGGTGACCAATTACACCCTACAAAAAGATTGGTGGTAACTCCTCTTTTATTTTTCTTGATTTTAAAATTCTTTACATCTGGTGATCCCAAAACTGTTACGATAGCTTGGCGACTCCATTGGAGACCTTTGAGAGTCAGGCCAAAATTTTAATTATGCGCTATTAATAGTTGTTGAATTTAATTAGTTTTATTCGATATTTAATTTAATTCCCTTTATTTTAATTTTTCAAAATATATATACATACAAGTTAATAAATAAAATAAATCATATGTTAGTTATTACTTTATTTTGATTATGTGTTTATGATTTATTTATGTTATTTTGATTAATACATTATTTTGCACACACTTTGCATATTCACTTGCATACATGAGCTCCAAACTCGAGCTCTTTTCCTTTTAAGAGGAAGTGAAGTAATTACACTCTCGTGAGGTGATAATCTCCACATTTGTTAGTGAAATACTTCACTCGAATTGAACATTTTACATTAATAACCTATAATGGGTGAGGATTTGAGAGCCTTACTAGTCTAT